GAAAGGGAAGAAATGTTTCTCTTTTCTAAAGAAAGAAGTTCCTTGGATGAGAAAATAAGACCAAGCAAGGGCCTGATCCGCAAAGAAGCGAGGCAAAGGCTCATAGAAAGATGGCAAGAAAGATGGGATGGTGAGGAAAAAGGTCGATGGACTTATCGCCTTATTCCGACACTCGCCACCTGGATAAATAAGAAACACGGTCAGGTTTCCTATTATTTGACACAGACGCTCACAGGTCACGGGTGTTTTAACTCGTACCTGTGTCGCTTTAAATTACGCGAGGACGAGGTGTGTGCATATTGACAGTTCCCTGAGGACAACGCGGAGCACACCCTCTTCTTAAGCAAGAAATGGGACTTGGAGAGGCGGGCCATGTTCGAAGGTGTAAACAGTCAAATTACACCGAAGAACATGGTGTCGCTGATGACCCAGTCAGAAGAGAATTGGCGGCAAGTCGAGAACTTCATAATTTCGGTTATGTCGAGGAAGGATCTCGACGGCCGCCAAAAAGCGTAATTTAAACAACTTTTAATTTGTTTGTTCGTTTCCTATTAATTTATTTTGTGATTTATTTGTCCTTATACAATTTTAATTCATTATGTAATTTATTTGTCCTTATACATTTTTTTTAAATTTGTTTTATGTTTGTATTTGTCTTTATACAGTTTTATGTTTTCAATATTATACACGCGTTTATTTTTTCTTTTTTTTTATATATCCGTTTACAAGTTCATCTTTTGACTTTTTACACTTAATTAAACTTTTTTTTTTTTATTGTTGTGCTGTTAATTCCGCTTTTATATTGAAATAGTTTTAAATTTTCAACTATTAACGCAGGAGAACCGCAGAGAAAAGCATAAAGTCGCATTAGCGACAGAGTTGGAGCGCCACCCTCGAAGGCTAAAGTCTTACGACAGTTCCGAGGGAGGGTATAGGGCTCCAGAAGAAGGGTTACGGGTTTTAGTGGGTCGGGCTGGTAGAAGGTCGCCAGTTTATTAAATTTACTATTTTATATATTTATTTTTCTTTTTTTATATTTCCTCTTGTTTTATCATACTAACCCCACATAACCTTGGAGTGCGGAATCCAAGGTATCTGTAGGCAGATTTCCCAAAAGTCCCTAAGCAAAAAAATAAAAACTAAAATAATAATAATAATAATAAAAACAATCATCAGTTAGCATAAAGATTCAGTGAAAACTGTACAGCTTTTGAAATCTTAGAAAAACCGCCTGTTCTATTGAAATTCACCTCCACGTTGAAAAGCTTGGGAGATGCTTTCTGAAGTGGAAAGTGAACGTCACAGTCAGACACTAAATACGAAATACAGTGGAAAAGTTATCCTTTGTCAGACGTCCCAATTTTCATACTTTGTTAGTTCGTCTAATTAGGAATGGAGGCTTTCACGGCAATTTATTTCTCAATTGTAATATTTAAGATTCTTTCTGCTCCTTATTATCACTAAAATACACCATTTATTACATTTAGTAGTAATAATTAAATGAAGAGAAATTTTACAAAATTGAAAAGAAAAACCTTTCAAATGAAAACAATTATTTTTCACTTTCAAAGAACAATACTTTGTAGATGAAATTTCTTTTTTCATTATTTTATAAAAAAATGAATTTGGGTCAGAATTCGTGAAATTTTTACGAAAAATAAAAAGTATTTTTTTTAAATCGAAATGTTGGAAAAACATTTGAAGCGTTTTGTGCAGAAACCGCATAAGTCCATTTTTTTCAAGATCACTTTCTTATTGAAAATTAATCTTTAAATGAAGCTTTTCAATCTGGTAAAATATTACATAAGTGACTAAACTCTAAAACCTTAAAAAAATAATTAAAATATCATTTTGTGCAGAAACAGCACAAGTTTATGATAAGTTTTATATTTATTTGTGATATTCTTGACGTATTTTAATAATTTATATTAAAGTTTATATTATAAATAAAAACACTCATGGGAAGCAAAAAGTGACAGTGGTGACTAAATTATTTAAAAATTAGAAAATATTGAAAATTGGTTAAATTTATTCTTAAAACAATTTTATTATTTATAAAATATTACTAAAAATTATCGAAATTTAATATTTTAAATAAATGTTATTAAATATTTCATAAAACTTTGATATTTCACTGGATTTAATAAATTTTCTGTGTTTTTCATTTCATTTTGTGCAGAAACAGCATAAGTCTTAATGTTAATTTATTTTTTAATTTTTTATATTAAGTAGATAATTAATTAATCATATTGGATTTTTTAACTTATAGGTTAGTAGAATATAATGCAAAAAGCCGAATTAAAAAAAATCTTAATATTTACGAGAAAAACAGTTTTTATTGATTCCTGAACAATTTCGAATTATGGACTTATGCTGTTTCTGCATAAAACGCTTCATTTCTATTCGGCCTTAGGAATGTGTCCATGGAAGAACAGAATTTTTTTTTTATAAAAGTTATTGTAAAATGAATTTTTTTGCAACTTTTAAAACAGAATTTTATTTCTTCTAAATAAATGAACCGATTTAAATGAAGCAAGCGGGAATATAAAGGGGATAAAATATACTTTCGTTTAGAATTAGAAAATTTTTAAAAAGTTTATTTTTTAATAATTATTTAATGCATTTTTTATGAATAATTAATTTTTAAAAATGTTTTTAATGTTTAATTTTCATTATAACTTTTAAAATAATTGTCGCTCCTAAATTTTCTCAACAGATTTAGATTCCTTTTAGTTTTAATTGTATGTTAAGATTTTTCAAAAATTTTTAAAAGACGCAGAACATTAAAAAAAATAAATTGTTTATAAACAATTTAGTAAATAATTATTAAAATATAAAGTTTTTAAAAATTTTTTAATTCTTAACGAAAGTATATTTTATCCTCTTTATATTCCCGCTTGATTCATTTTAATCGGTTCATTCATTTAGGAGAAATAAAATTTTGTTTAAAAAGTTGCAAAATAATTCATTTTGCAATAACTTTTATAAAAGAAAAAATTTTTATGTTCTTTCGTGAACACATTCCTAAAGCCAAATAGAAATGTTTGATTAACATTTCGATTAAAAAAAATACTTTTTATTTTTTGTGAAAATTTCACGAATTCTGACCCATTTATAATATTTTTTGTAACAGATTATTTTTTCATGAAAACGTACTGGTTTTTATAAAAATAATTTTCGTTAATAAAAATGAATGGATGGAAGTAAAATATTTTTGTTTGAAGAACGATTGTGGTGAATAATTTTTATAAATACTTGTTTGATTACAGTTTTAAAAGGGGCCAAGAGTTTATAGTTAGAGAAACTGTGTTTTGATTGAGAAAAAAAATTTGTTGCCCCCAGGTTGTAAGATTTATTTTTTCGCATGCTGTGTACAGTTTCAAGGGTTTGTTGAAGTTGAAGTTAGGTAATTAACTTTCAAGACTTTCAGAGATGAAACTTTTTCTCGACTATATGGTTGCTGAACCCCAATGAGCTGTTTTGTTCATGCCGCGGCCACATATATTAACTTCACATGCGAGACTGTGAGATAGGTTGGCAACCACACTCTTGAATAAGTTAAAGTGCATTGCGTGTGTACCGTTAATTCGTTTCATGAACAATTACAATAGAACCGTGACGGTTCAATTCCGCTTATCCTCACAAAATTTGTGTTTCTATTATAAAAAAAAATTTCTGCCCCTAATGTCACTGAAAATTCTTTATATGTGAATTTAAAGTCTTTAAACTTGCTTCTTTATATGTAAAGCAAAAGCATTTTCTTTCTGTTGCAAAATGATATAAAGTATATTCTATTTTTAAAGCCCTCGAAAGAATTGTATAACTTAAAAGAAACTTTGTAAATCTTATATAAATCTTACTTGTGGGGACTATCTAATATGCAAAAACTTGAGTCAAAAATTTTATCGATATTTTATCTCCAATGAAAAAATTTTTTTTTTAAAGTTTTGATTAGTATTTGAATTTGTTTTATTTATTTTTTTAATTTCTATGCGACAATACATGATATTCTCCTCTTTTAATCATAAATTTAGAAATTAAACTTTCTCGCTATTAAAACTAATGTTGAGATTATTTTAATTTTAACATTAGCATAATGAAGAGCTTGCACAAGATTTATACTACTGTGAATTTCCATTTAAATATACAACAGAAACAATTAGGAAATTGAAGAAGGATTTATCTTTCAACTATTTTAGAATTTTTCTACTGAAACAAAACTTTTATTTTGTTTAGCGTCTAAGAAAATTGTCAAAGTCTTTACTATTGGAGTTAATCTTCGGCAAAGAAAAAGAAACTCAATAAAGACTTATCTGTTTCGACAATTTATTGTCACCGCAAAATGGAAACGCATTCCACTTCACTCTTTGGCCCATTCCAATGTTAATTAGGCAAAACATTCCCAAGGATTGTACGACATCCGTTCCTCAAGTTGGCTAACAATATTCGAACGAAGTGATGACGTTGACGTACTTTATATGTCAGGCATTGTCACGCGATCAGAACAACGCCAAAACAACAAGATATACGAATAGCATTGTCATTCACATTCTCAATTCTTACCGCTTCTTTCTTTTTGCTTTTCTTCATTGAACGATACTTCATTAAACAGGGGAATTTTTATAGTTATCACGTCTCTCATTTCTAATACTTGTATTAGTAATTTAATACATAAGTATGTGGGATAAAAAAATAATTAGTATACATAAGAATGTAGTTAAAAATTAAAATACAATAAAAATATTAAGAAATAAAAATCCCACGTGATTTCCACTCCAAAATACATAAAAAGTGTACACAAGGACACATACACATAACATTACTAAAAATAGTAAGTTATTGTCCTATGGGTCAGTAGGCTTGTAAAGCTGGTTGTAATGAAATTTTCTTTATTTTCGTTAAAAGGAAAAACCATAAACTGAATTAAATTTTAAATTATAATAATTTTTAGAATTAATTTATCAATCATTTAATATAAAAATTAATAAATAGAAATATGATAAGATTGAAAATTAGATTGCATAACACAAAATTATTTGAGGTCAAATGGAAATTATACGATAAACAATATAAATATATTTCTCGAGATTTATTCCAATAATGAATTCCTAAATTAGTGGTACCACTTAAAAATACAATATAAATACACACACGCACGAAATTGACTCTTTCACACAAATATACAAAACATAATACAAATAAAAACTTCGATATACCAAAAAACCTTAATTATAAATGTCAATCAAAATTATAGATCAAAAGATCAATTGAATATCAAATCATTAAATATATAATAAAATTATTATAGTCATATAATTTCTATTAAGAGAAATGAGTTACTTGGTCAAATAAAGTTAATATCAGTATACAATTAAAAAGTCAATATACAAATTAACAAAAATGATATAAGAATTAGCATTTTCACTCCAGATCATTCATGACTTATGCACCATACTTATCTGGGCAAAATTTAGGCGTCGGTTTGGCGGGAGATCGATATGGTGAGAATTTTGGATACTAATTGACCCTCGATGAGAAACTCGGATAAAAAATTATTCCCGATTCCTCCTTAGTGATGATTTTATTATAAATTGTACTAAATGTTGATCTCCTCCTTCGAATTAATGAATAAGATTCCAACTTCACGAATGAGACTTCTTTTCTTATTGGACTTTAAGACCCGCCCACTTCAAATCGCCACACTAAACAATGATTTTATCTCTTGTTAAATAAAACTCACAATTATAAAAAAAAACTAAATTCAAAAAGAAACAACAACCGTTAATTTATGCTTAAGAAGTAACAACGAAAATCTCACCTCTCAGTGTCCTCGGCCGGCACTCAGAAACGTGGCGCGGATCCGTCCGTCAATCTGGAGTTACGATGACCAAGTAATTGATCATACGCAAATTCTCCAGAATCGACGGACGTTTTTCCAAAAACCAGCGTCTTCCCCACCGACTTGATGATCACGTGAGACGTCCCTAAATATTATCTTCCCAACATACACAACTATATAGAAGGAGATCAACATGAATTATCTAATTTAAATTTCTCCTTTTATCCAAAAAGAAAAGACCGCCTCATGGTCCTCGGGAATGAGATGAACCTTTACGATGGGAATAGATGTTGTCTATGAACTTCCTGTAAAAAGAAATATTTTGTTAATATTTCGTTATATTTTTGTTTGTAAACACTAGAGTTACTTTTTCATGTTGAATTCATTATCATATGTGCAATCTGTTTCCTAAAAAACACAAGGGACATGAAATTGTCGGTTTCGTGGAGAATTACCTAAATATATTTTAAAATATATTAATCTCTAGATTTTCACTAGCTGACATTTTTTATAATAAGTACTTATTATAATGTTTATATTACTGAATTTTAATTATTTCCAATTTTAAATTTGGCGCCATTACCTTTGGTTTTCAGGCAGTGTTAAAATTTTTGTTTTCTATGTTGCATGGTTAGTTTTGATACTTATAAATTCACAAGTTCTAACCTTCCAATTTTTTTTTCAATTCTCCATAAATACAATGAATCGGAGTTAAGAAACAAAGTTTTTTGCAGTGCAATCTGTTTGTTTATTGACAACAATGATTTTAATTAATATTTCTATGATAAAGTGATTGTTATTTGACTGTAATTGTGATTTTATGTTGAACTCAAAATGAGTCGGATTTAACTCATTTTGAAACTTTTTGCCTGAAACTCAAAATCAGTTGATCCGGAACATTTTCGTTGCAACTCATAATGAGTAACTTTTCCAACTCATTTTGAGTTCAGTTTTTTCTGTGCATGTTGCTATTTTTAATTATTATTGAATCGGAAAGTTCAAAATGTATGACCTATAACAAAACTTATTATTTTCTCGCATTTGCGTTGATGTGACATATAACCTAATTTCATTTTTAACCTAATTATGGATTTACTTTCGTGCAATACTTGATGTCTAAAATAAATCTAGAGAGTAATTAATGATTAATGATTTTCCATTTCCACATCCTCCTTTGATATTTTTGCGTCTGCCATATAATACTGCTACTTCGTATACACATATAAATATGCATATTAATCGATTTGTCTTCATTATATGTAACATATGATTTGAATAGATGAACACCATCAAAAGACTCCTTTTAATACGACTAATAATATATATTTAAATTTTGCATCATTAGTATTCTGCCGTCCTTTTAAAAAAAGACACTATCTACATTTTAGCTCCATCGGAGATATTGAAAACGCGTTTGCATCTGGATCTCTTAAAAAAATTTAAAATTTTGTAAACAAACTTATGTTCTTGACTAATTCGGACACGCTCTTATCATTGGGGCAAAAAAAATTATTAATTTTAATTATTAGTTAATAAAACTGTAGATAGTGCACATTTTTTATCCGAAAATTATGAAGAATACATGAAAAGTGCACTATGTGGTAGATAGTACGTTTAAAATGGCTTTGTCGGTCCACTTTCCTGTTTAAAGCGTCACTATCTACATTATTTTTCTAACACAATCCTTTATTTTTGTTATATTTTTATTATTATTTTATATTTTATTTTATTTATTATTATATTATATTTTTTAATTTTAAAAATATCGAACGAAAAATCACGAACAATAGAGGGGCTGATAGTAAATATGGTTTATAATAATAATAATAATGGGAGCAAAAGTAGAATAATGGAGCGTTTACACCTTCTGTAAAAATTGTCCAGAAAGGAAAATTTGCATTGGAGTAAGAGAGTCAGATACACAGTCTGTCTCTCTTAATCCAATGAAAAATTTTCCGTTCTGAAAATTTTTATCGAAGGTGTAAATGCTCCCTAAGGCTGGAGTCCCATGGCAGCGTTTTGCGTTGCGTTTTGTAACTAGGCCATGAGTGCAAATATAGCGAACCTATATCTTCATCTCTCTCACACTCATAGCCTAGTTCCAAACGCAACGCAAAACGGTGCCATGGGACTGCACCCTAAGTGCCTTAAGAGCAAAAACGGTTAACCTGTTTTTGCTCTCAAGGCACTTATTCTACCTAATGATTATGTAATTTCTTGATAAATTAATTATATTAATGCTTCAAAAATGTTGTCAATAATAAAAAACTTATTTTATTTGAATTAATATTTTATAATCATTATAATTAATTTATCAAGAAATTACACAATCATTTTAATCTGTTTTTGCTTCTATGTCATTTATTCCACTTTTGCTCCCGTTATTATTTTAAACCATTTTTACTATCAGCCCCTCAATACATAAATTTTATTTACCATTATAACTTTATTTTATTTGATTATTATGTTCTGCATTAAATTTTTATTAAATTAAATGTTAACTTTACAAAAAAAATAATTAAAATTGTTTTTCTCCAACACTTGCTCTGAAAAGAGTACTTTTCTTGGTAGAAAAGTGTGGCGAAAGTAGAACTTTTCTCAACTGCTCTGAAGAGCGTGGCGAAAGTAAAATTTGGCGTGGCGAAAGTAAATTCAGCGTGGCGAAAGTAATTTTTATCGTGGCTCATTTTTCATAAAATATGTAGATAGTGCCTTTTTTAAACTGTACAGCAGTATTATATATATAATTATTAAAAATTTATAATTAAATTCATTATTTTTCATTTTTGTTCAATTTTAAAAGTTTCTGAAGAATTTTCAAAAGTAGAAAAATGGTCTTCACAATTGCCTTCATTTCTCACTATATATATTTAATTTTCCTCTCTCAATTTTCTTTCAATCGCTGCAAAATTTAATTACCTTTTACTTCTAGAAATTGTATCTCTTTTAATTGTTACGTCGAACTAACCCAATTATTATATTCCCTAGTGTTTCCCGATTTTATTTTAATTAGTGATAATCAAAATTGGGACGAGGTTTAGTAAATGGTCAAGAAATAATTTTATTTGAAATAAGTGTGTATTTAAAATGAGCGAAATATAGAAAAGATGATGTACGAACTTTCTAATACTGAGTCTAGTGGTCTCTTTACCTTGGAACAGCGGGAGGTCCTTCTAAGGTTGCGTCGTCCAAATACAATAGGCTTTTCACAGGCAAATTAGCTTCTAAGTGGTTGCAGGTTGACAATAATTACCTATGAATCCTTGTTAATTTTCCTTGTGTTAACTATGAATTCACAAAGTCGAACAAGACTTCCGAACACAGGATTTAGAAAAACTTGGTATAAAGAATATTTGTACTTTTCAGTGGACGAGACCAGTTCTTGATGATGGAAAATTTAGACTGACTTGTACGGAGCACCACTTCTCAATTCTCAATTTGAGACTTATAATACTGACAACTACATTTTCTTGACTGACTTGCTGATGATGGCCTCGCACTTTTTATACCAAAATTCTGTCCATATATTTTAGAAATTGTTCGCTAGGCTATGTATTTCTAGAAGACCATTGTTGCTGGAACACTTGTGTTGACTCACTATTAGATCGCACGTGTCTCATCTCAACTTATTATTATTTTTAATAATTATTACAATTTTTGTTATTTATAATTATAATTTGTTATGTCATTATTACAATTTTGTTATTATTTGTTACAATTTATAATTATTTTGTTATTACAATTCGGTTATTATTTGTTACAATTTGTTATTATCTTGTTATTATAATTCTGTTATTGTTGTTACAATTTATTATTATTTTGTTATTATAATTCTGTTATTATTGTTACAATTTATTATTATTTTGTTATTACAATTCAGTTATTATTTATTATTACAATTCTTTATTAATAATTATTTTTTTACTATAATTTGTTATTAACAATTATTTTTTGTTATTATTATTACTATCATTATTATTAATTATTATTTAATATATTTTATTAGTTTTAATTGTAGCTCCCATTATTATTATTTTATTGATTATTTATATTGTTTGTTGAAAATATGTTACGATGACGTAACATTATCTATTAATTAAGACCAAAGTGAACCTCTGATATTGAAGTAATATTTTACGTGTACAACTGGTCGCATTAAACTATATGAGATATTAAAAAAAAATTCCCTAAAAAATTATACTTCTAATTTTCTTCCTTTTTAAAATCCATTTTCTGATAATTGAGTAAAAAAAGAGTAATAAAATCATATATCGAATAAATTATTTTTTTTAAAATCACATTTGCAGATAATTTTTGTAGTTATATCGAAATTTATTGATTTTCTCCTATGCGGTTTACTCGCTGCAAAGTGATGGACGTTGTAAGGCTTTCGACTGTGGACCGGAAACCATAAAAATGTCCCATCGCGCCAAAATATCTACACGTTTTAAGTAACAAATCCTATTTTATGGAAATTTTAAGAATTTGAGACATGACAATAAAAATAATTTTTTGATTTAAAGGAAATTTTTATTTGATTTTGTATTGATTTTAGAATTTTTAGATGAGGTAACAATTTATTAATGTGTGGCATTTTCGGAACATTTTTTAATAGATCATAAATTTTTTAAAGATATTGTTTATTACCTAAAAGTTCAAAAACCAAAACGAATTTTCTATAAGGTACTTTTGTAGCCAGTTGTACTAACTAGAGTTAAGATTGTTTAGTTTTCAAAAGAATAAGATTTTGATAAAAATCTTTTTAGAAACTTACTCAGGATTATCGACTCTTGGTCCATAATATAAGTCCTGCAATGACTCGTCAAAGTTCAATATGTAACATTGTTGCCTTCCACATTGCATGTTGCGCTCAACGTTCGTCATGGACTATTCGTTTTTCAAATTGTCTTTCAATTTTCGTTAAATCGACTAGAAACTGTATATGCCTCTTTAATCATGTTAAAATTACCTTCAAAAACTAGTATCTATTTAATGTAAATTCAAGTGGCACGTGCCTCCTTTATAGATATAGGTTTATGGGAATATTGGTCCAACTAAATATCCTTTATAGATTTTATGATTCACCTATACAGGTTACTAGATAACCATGTTGTAAAAATTGATTGCTTTTATCATCATCCAATTATCCTAAATTTATTTTGTCTGTCTTTTTTCTACCTGAAGAAAACAAAATTTTAAACAATTTCATGTACAAATTGTTCAATTTTCCTTTCAAAATTTTATAAATTTTCTGTTTTAATTTTCATCTTCCAATTCATAATAATATATTGATAATTAATTATAATTTTAAGGAATAACTAGACTTCTTACATGTTGTTTTCATTTTTTATGTCATGTTACTCACTCATCGAATCTTTGCATATTTTTACAGTTTACACAACGCTTTAAACATCTAGTCATTTCCTTTACAATTTTTAATTTTAATTTGCATGTAATTTTATTAATTGTATAAAAATATTTATGTTTTTTTGTGAGTTTGTGGTCTTAATTACGGCAACATCTCATTTTTTAACAGACTCGTCTGTGAAATAAATTTATTATTTAAGGGGTTACATCCACTTAGACAGCCGAAAAAGTCAAAATTTTAGGAATTTTTTTAGAGAAAACTATTGAGTATTTTAATTTTAAAATTAATTCACATATAAAAGGTACTTTGAACTTTATATTGACATATTTTATTTATAAAAATAATTGTTTTTAAAAACTTTTATAAAGAATTTACGGTAGCTCCTCCGAAGTGACTCATCTTGCGGTGAGCAAGATATTTCTGGACTGGATCATCTAAAATGAAAAAACCAAAAATGTTTCATTTATGTAATAGATGATCCTGGGATTAATGAAAGTAATAAACGAAATAATAATATTTGACAAAATTATTTATAAAATAAAAAAATATTTATTGTAAGAAAACCTTCGATTAATCACCAAAAAATATAATTAAAAAGCTTATTGTGTTAAAATCTGAGACTTACATTGCACAGTGGGACGAAAAACACGGCCGTGGACAAATTAACATAGATAACCCGATTTTGATGTTTTTGATCTTGTTTTAAAGATGATAAAATTCTGCACAACGCTTCTGCTCTTGTTTTTTTTAAATTTGTTTCTATTGTTTATTTATAATTTTAAAGTTAAAAAATTTTTTTTCCTCTTTAAAATCAAGATAACTTTTTTAAAAAGGCGATTATTACATCAGCTAAATCCAAAATTTTTAAAGTACTAACCTAGAAACATATTGTAATTGTTAATAATTTTTTTTAAATCGTTCATAATTGTTATTAACAATTTGGTGAATTAATGATAAGTAGTTTGTTTTTTTAACTTTCAGTAATTGAAATCCACCTAATTTTTTGTATTTGATACCCAAAAGTAAATACCAGTTAAAATAATTAATGTACTTCATTATTTATAATTGTTTAAACAATTTTGATGATTTCAGTTCCTTTTAGCGATATTTATAAATTAATGGGTGCAATGTGCACTATTGTTGGTCAAAATAAACGACTATTACTTATTATAGTTAATATTTACACATAGCATTATTTAAACAATTCTTAATTAACAAATTAATAGCGACGTTGTTTTTAGTTGTTTAAATTTCATTTTTTTTCTAAATTTCGTTGAATGTCATATATTTTTTTAATATTTAATATTAAATAACACAGGTTTACAAATTAAAAACTTTTTTTTGCCAATCGAACAAAACATTTTTTTTTCGAATAGTAGGTGTTTTTTGAGTAAGAAAATCATAGTTTTAATTTTTTTCCCTCGTGCAGTTTTTCTGTAGCTTCAAATTTTGCATTTTCGAGGTGCGACGCCACTTAAACTTACCTGTAGGAAAATTAGCTTGTCAAAATATAATAAATGAGGTATCATTGGAAAGGTTATTAAATTACCTTTCGATCCATAGGTCACAGAATGAAATTCAACACAAATTGAGAAAGTTACAGTCGATTAAAGATGAAATTTCATGACAATTTTGATGATTTTTAGACATTTGAGTAACTTCTACTATTTTTTTCTACATCAAACAGGAAAGAATGTTCAGGTTTTAATTTTTTTATTGATAGACTATATCATTACACAAATTTTGAGCCCTTATGGACCTCGATTGGATTAAAAATGACAATTCTACACTAAATTTAGCGAACGAAACTACATTCTTCATCTTTAGTATCCCTTAAACATTTGCAGCAAAAATTGAAGTAATAAAATTTAGTTAAGCTCTAAAATTACTGAAATCACTAATCAAGGATTTCTGAAATCGTAGATTTCGAATCCAATGTTAGTTTTCTAAATTTCAAAATGGCGGATCCAATATGGCGGACAAGTTTTTAAAAATCGATTAAATTCGTTCTTAAATTCGTTACTCGGGGGTTTTCGGGGTCGCTGATTACGAATCTGATGTCAGATTTCAAAAATTGAAAATTATGGATTCATAATGGTGATCGAGTTTTTTAAAATTCATCGAATTCGCACCTATTGGATCCGCCATTTTTAATTTTTGAAATCTGACATCAGATTCGTAATCAGCGACCCCGAAAACCCCCGAGTAACGAATTTAAGACGAATTTAATCGATTTTTAAAAACTTGTCCGCCATATTGGATCCGCCATTTTGAAATTTAGAAAACTAACATTGGATTCGAAATCTACGATTTCAGAAATCCTTGATTAGTGATTTCAGTAATTTTAGAGCTTAACTAAATTTTATTACTTCAATTTTTGCTGCAAATGTTTAAGGGATACTAAAAATGAAGAATGTAGTTTCGTTCGCTAAATTTAGTGTAGAATTGTCATTTTTAATCCAATCGAGGTCCATAAGGGCTCAAAATTTGTGTAATGATATAGTCTATCAATAAAAAAATTAAAACCTGAACATTCTTTCCTGTTTGATGTAGAAAAAAATAGTAGAAGTTACTCAAATGTCTAAAAATCATCAAAATTGTCATGAAATTTCATCTTTAATCGACTGTAACTTTCTCTATTTGTGTTGAATTTCATTCTGTGACCTATGGATCGAAAGGTAATTTAATAACCTTTCCAATGATACCTCATTTATTATATTTTGACAAGCTAATTTTCCTACAGGTAAGTTTAAGTGGCGTCGCACCTTGAAAATGCAAAATTTGAAGCTACAGAAAAACTGCACGGGGGAAAAAAATTAAAACTATGATTTTCTTACTCAAAAAACACCTACTATTCGAAAAAAAAATGTTTTGTTCGATTGACAATTTCACTGTAAACCAGTGTAATTAAACACATTTAATTAATGAATCAATTTTTTTTAATAATTCTATAAAATATTTTATAGAATATTCTACAGAATACTCTATAGAATGCTCTATAGAGTCATTCCATAGAATCATTCTATAGAACTTTTTTGACTGGGAGGTAGTAAACTAAATACATATGTAATCAAGAATAATTTTGTAAACATTGAAATTTACAGTAATAAAATTCTTTTTAAATAAGGAAAAATTTAAGGAATATTCAT